GTTCTGGAACTTTCATGGAAAAGTTCCAGAACCACTTTGTGTAGGACAATGGATAAGCTATAAGTCCCTCTCTTGACTACTCGTTTGTCTGAGAGGGACTTAGTTAGGTTAGAATGAAACCCAATTCTTCTTCCATCTTTTGATTTAACAAACAGAAAAATAAACCAAACCAAACCAAACCACACTGTCTCAAGGATTAAACACCCTCCCTGCAATCAGGATAATTTCATTTTTTGCAATAATTAATTTTTGTCATATAAATACCCATCAATCATTGCAAAAAAATACATGGATCCAATCAAGAGAGAGTGTTTAATACTGACCATGCTCAACATTTGTATGAATTTTCTCAAAACAATTTCTTTAAAAGTTTACAAATATCATTCAAAGTAAAACCTCAACAAATGAAAACTCTCAAAACTATTTCAAGGCACGTTTACTTAAGTGATTTCTGGTGAGAAATCACATTATGCAAAATTTTAAGTGTCTATTTGGTGGTGCATGTTTCATTTTTACATCAAAAAAATTTACAGAATATGATTTCTGGCCAGAAATCGCTTAAGTGAATGCACCCTTAAACTTTATCCAACCCACTTTTCAATTCAAAAATCTTAGGGCCCGTTCGGCTGGACCCCAAAAATTGTTTTTGGCCAAATACCCCACCAAAGCCAAAAATGGTTTTTGGGTCATAACCGTATTTGGTTTTCTACAAAAACTCCGGTGTTCGGGAATTTTATTTTACCAAATTCAAATACCCTTTTGACCCAAAAAATCATCGATTCTGAAATACAGCCTTGAGGCTGTTTTTCAACCCCAAAAACTGTTTTTGCCCCATCCCTTCATCTCCATCGATCAACTCCAATCCTCCCTTGCTCTCTCTCTCTCTCTCTCTACATGCCCTTTTATTTCCTTCACATCTCTTTCCTTCACATCCCTTTCCGTCACTCAGCTTCATTTCCATTTTGTTTCATTCCCTTTTTTTATTGTGATCACCTTTCCATCACTCAGCTTCCTTCTCTATCTCGTCTACACCAGTTTTTTGGTGTGAGCCATTCTGAATGTGGCCTTCCATCATCCCTCTTGTAATTGAACATATCCATTTCAATTCTATCCTTCTCTTTGCACCTGTCTCGTCTTCTATTTACTATCAGTCTTGTCTTCACACCTTTACTATCAGTCTTGTCTTTGACCTGTCTCTTCTTCGCACCTTTAGTATCAGTCTTGTCTTCGCACCTGTCTTGTCTTTGCACCTTTACTATCAGTCCTATTAGTCCTGTCAGTCTCGTCTTTGCACCTTTACTATCAGTCTTGTCTTTGCACCTTTACTATCAGTCTGATTAGTCCTGTCAGTCTTGTCTTCGCGCCTGTCTTGTCTGCTATGGGTACCACCAACAAACCCAAAGCCAAACCACGACCGCGCGCTCCCAGAGCCGTTCGAACTCATCAAGAATTTCATTCACCTAGCCTAGAACCAATGACCTTGCCCCCTCCTGCTACTCCAAACCAGCCAATAGCTTCAAACCCGCCAATTGTCGAGACACCAAAAGACCCGAAGCTCAAGGCTGAATGGGATGAGGATGACAACACAATTTACATTGATGTCCTGATTGCTGAACGTCAGCCTGCTAATGGAGCGATTGGACCCAAGAACGCTACCACCACTCATGGATTCAAGATTGCAACTTGGACTAAAGTCGCTGAAAAACTTAAAGGAAGTGAAGAAAAGAAGATTCCAGGCACTAACTTGGTTCATCTTAGTGCATCCAAGACCGCGAAGGCTTGTAAGTCTCACTGGTATGTTGTAAGTATTTTTTTCTTTTGAAATTCTTCATTCTTGTTTTTATTGTTTTTTATTGATGTTGTCTTTTGCTTCTACAGTTATCAAAACTATACGCCAATTACAAACATATCAATGGGCTGAGTGGTGCTGGGTGGAAGGATGACTGTATTGACTTACCTGACGCAGTCTGGGCGCCCATTCTCAATGATAAAGTAAGTAGATTTTTTAATTCTCCCTTGGCATCATTCATACTGACTTCTTTGCCTCTTGAAGCAGAGTACAAAGACAAAAGATTACGCTTGGTTGAAAGGTTGACCATTTCCCTTATTCAATGCAATTGCAACTCTAATCAAAGGCCACAAAGCTACCGGCAAGTACGTTAAAGGTTCTGTTGTCGATAACACCGATCTTCCTTCAACTTTGAGCACCCCAATTCTCAAGAGGACCAAGATGCCTTCACCCTTTATTGGCCAATCCAAGGATCCATTCGATCACACTTTCTTATCTTCTCCACCACCTGATCCTGTCCCCAAATCACCATCTTCTGATCATTCCGACTTACCTGGAGTTGCTTACAAGCCCGAAGAAGAACTGAGTTCTGAAGATGACGGTCCAGCGGCGAAGCGACACTGCCAGTCTAAGGTTGCTCTGAAAGCACGTGGTCCAACCAAACCAAAGAAATGCTCTGGCATTCAGATTCTCAATGGAATGTCCACCGATATGAAGGACTTTGGCTCTAATATCCAGTCATCCTTTGACTCCACTTCAGCATTGATTGACACTGCAGCTAAAACCATTCAAGCGGACAAAATTTCAACTCATGCTTCAGCTGTGTCTTTAATTTACAAATCATCGCTTCAGAACACTCAACGCTATATTGCCTTGACTTTATTTGCTGAAAAGCCTGTGCTGGCTGAAACTTATGTCAATACACCCCCTGGTGAGCGCGATGGATGGCTCCAATACATTCTCAACAAAAACAGTAAGTACTTTCTTTTCTTATCATTCATTCAACACTGACTCATTCTTTCTTGATTCTCTTTACCTTCAAGATCAACTTTGAATTATTATTGATTACATCCATACACACTGATACAAATGTCTCTGTTAGCTGCCTGATCTTAAATAAAAAACTATTAAATCTTTAAATGTCTCTGTTAGCTGTCTGATCTTAAATAAAAAACTATTAAATCTTTCAATAAAATGTTGTAGCTGTCTGATCTTAATTAAAAAAACTATTAAAGCTTTATATAAAATAAACTATCAACTACATTTGTATTTATACATGCTGATACAAGTGTAGTGTAGTGGCTGTGACTGTCTGGTTTGTTAGTGATTGCAATGTTAACCTATGTATGTGTTCTTTATTCATATGAACTGATCATGAATTGAGAGGAACTTTTATTGAACAAACAAGAACAAAAGGTTTGATTAATAAATGTAAGATCAAAATACTTCTAAGTGTCAGTGAGACTGGTAATACATGTAAGATAAAGATGCTTTGATTAATAAATGTAAGATAAAAATACTTCTAAGTTTAAGTGAGACTTGTAATACATATGAGATAAAGATGCTTTGATTGAGAGTTGTAATATAAAATAAAATAGCTACATATGATTTGAACACCAGGATACATGGGAGGTAGTCCATGTCCTTGTTTACTTTGATTTACCTTCTTTCTTCTTTCAGTCTCCACTAAGTAATCCCCCAAATATCTTCTGCAATTTGATCTCTGAGGTTTTTAGCATAGCCATTACCTTCAGCAGTACTACCAAATTCTTGAAGATAACCAGATTGTTCTTGAGTAGGCGCTTCCATAGTTTCTTGAGGGTTGGGAATGAATCCTTCTCCAAATTGAGGGAATTCTTCAGCTGAACCTTTTGGATCTTTAACACGAATAAAGTTGTGAATGAAGCACATAACAGTGACCATTGAAATTTGAATCTCAATGGTGTATTCACACCCGTGAGCCATGATCTTAAAGCGCTTCTTGCAAACTCCAAAGATACACTCAATAATGTTACGTGTGCTAGCATGTCAAAGATTGAATAGTTCTTCTTTATTCATCGGTCTAATATGAAAGGATAGGAGTGGTGAGAAGAAGAAAGACAGAGAAAAGTATGAAAATGATGGAAGAAAAAGAAATCTCATTTGAAACCTTTCTTTTCCCACTCTCGTAAATGATAACGAACTTTTTGAAAAGGAACAATACAATCTTCAGTGAGAGAAAAGCCAGCATCACCGAGACAATATTTTCCGGAGGGGATAGTAAGCACCTGTGTCACCTGTGTGAAGTGACATACATGCCCTGGGTAAAGTGCCATTTACCCAGGGCATGTGAGCCGGAATTTGGCTGCGGAGCAGCTCAGGACTCCTGGAGCACGTCCTTAAAGCCTTATAACTTCTTTTTGAAAAGTTTTTACACACTATAAATCACCACAGGGTACATCAAAGAGGTTATTCTTTATTATTCCTTCTTTCAAACTTATCTGAATCTTGAGTTAATCTCAAGGTCCTTGCCAGAGCGCTCTGAGGACCGCCAGAGGCCTCAGCTCTGACTTGTCAATTTTCAGAGTTGACCTGAGGCTGCTGCATTACTTGCTGGAAATCACTCCAACACCAAACTACACATGACCGAAGTAGAATACCCAAATTCCTCTCGATATCAAACCTCGCTCCGGTCAACCTTCCTCAAGTCGTCACAACTTATGTATGTAGTCACAACTTATCTTGACCTTGGCACAATCGATAAAATTATCCTTTTGTTCTGATCAATCGACTCTACCCATTTTGACTTCACCCGTTCCACCTCAAGTTGTTTTATGTTTTATGTCCCTGCACCCCCACATTGGGTTCTGAAACCTCACTCACTGTTTGATATTTGGTCAAAACTAGATAAGCCAATTCATTTTGATTTCACAAAAACACAGTCACCACAACAAAGCAGAGAGATGCACTAGAAATTTAAAACGTTTCTTAAAAAAAGGTCTAACAACGAACAATGACATAAAGATTGCATTTGGTCAAGGAAAATTTGAAATAGATCAATCTATCTTTGACCATCTGAGGCATCAGCTGGACAAAGATCCGCAACAATAAGCATTGTAACTACATGAGACATACAAAGCAATGACTATGTTATGTGAAAACCCCAACTGATGAAAATAGAGAAAGAACATTGATTTCACAATGATGAAAGCCTGAATCGATGTATTGACTACTAATCGGAAGAACTTTCATCGTCATCTGACGAGCTTCCTTTTTCACTTGGAGACTGTTCTTCTTCAGCAGTGGAACTTCCTTTTTCAGTTGAACTTGTTTCATCGGAATCGGAATCGGAATCGGAATCGGAATCGGAATCTGACTTTCGGGTATTTTTACTCTTATGAGAGCCTTTGTTCATACCACCTTGCGCCAATTTCAAGAGTTTCCGACGTCCTTGCCCGATAGGTTGATTGTCCGTATGTTCGGCAGTTGATCGATTTCGTTTCTTTGGGTTTGCTGCAGGGAGGCGAGTCTGAGGGAGTGCTGAGCCACTTGGTTCGTTTTCATCATCCTGACCAAGTAGAGATTGCTGTTGGGAGTCGTCACTTATCGCCTCGAGCGTAAAATTGCCGTTCTCAACGTCTTGTGCCCAAAGTTTAATCACTGCACTAGTTAATTTCCGATGACCTACATCAAGGTCAGATTGTTTGAGCAATGATCCAGGCTTTTGGACAATCTTTACAGGCCATTTTGACTTCAAAATTTGTCCAACAGGGTCTTGATTTTTCGGAAATACAGCACCTGGAACATGTACACCTACAAACAGTCAAATGTACATCAGACTTCAAATAGCAAACACAAATCAAGATGAAATGAAAACAGAAATGAAACATACGAAGAAGTTCATTCAGCCGTGCTCCCAAGGTACTTCTTCGCTCATCACTGGGTTGTCGAGTAGTAGATTCGATCTCCTTAGCTGTTTCAATTCCGTGAACATAAGTTGAAAACTTAGAGGGAATTTTCTCAATGTCAAGCGCCCATTTTGCAAATCGGACGTTGTTCGAACAGGTCTGTGACCAACCGTCAATACCTCCACAGCTGGCTGTTGTAAGATAGTACGCTATCTGATTTTGTTGGCAAACAACGGCAAACTGATAAAAAGGGCGTCTCATAAGTAACTCATACTTAAATATCCTTGGGTGTGACAAATAAGGAGTCTTACGTCATGATGAGCTTTCTTTACGGCTACCAAAGACTTCTTTTGAAGCGTAGCCACCAAGGGTAATGGTTCCGGTTTACCATGACACATGTGAACCTTTTCGACATTGACCAATTGAGTAAAGATGGGCTGATACTTTTCCTTGTCTTCATCCGTAAGCTTGTGAACTCGAGGTGCCCGAGTAGATGTATCAAACTGTTGTACATCGACACCAGTTTCGTCCTTGCCTGATATTTCGGTCGTGTGTTCTTCAAGGTCTTGATTGGCGTAATCGGGCAGATTTGCCAACACAAAGAAATAAGGATCCCGAAATACCTTCCGTTCGTCCTTGGAGAGTTTGTTCCATTCATCCGACATTTTCTGATTACGAGCCGTCCAAGCGTCTTTGTCATTCCGATCCGGAACTTTATGATTTAAGAGGCATCACCGTGATTAATCGACGTGGGTTATAATGAGTTGTTGAAGAGTTTATTGGATATAACGGATAAAAATTCAAGTAAAATGAAAGTAAGTTAATTTGGTTATAATGAGTTGATGAAGAGTTTGATATCACACATCATAACAAATGAAAATTCAAATAAAGTGAAAGTGGGTTGATTTGGTGATATTGAAAACAGAAAATAAATGTGAAGTCATGGATTTGATATAGTGTTGATCGTTTTGATATGCAAAGTTGAAATATGTCAAAGCATTTAAAAGTCGTATCAAATAGTTGAATTTGTAGTTTGTGATACGTGGTGGTAATAATGTGAAGTTCGGATTCAACAGTGTGATACGGTCGCGGTTAGAACAACAAGATTGAATGAGCCGATTGATAGGATCCAGGGTGTTGAAGGAGATTGTTATAACGGTGAGATCAACATAATGGAAGTTCAAGTGGAATAAGAGACAAGATAACATTATGAATGCGTGAGAATAACAGGTTGATGATGGTGATTGTTACACTTACGTTGATCACCGAGGCACTTGATACAAAATGAAAGGAAACGAATCCAAGGATTGGCCTTGACTTTCTTCAATCCGAATCCTCTATAAGATGCAAAGGCTATTATTATTTGATGTTGAGAACAGGAAAAAGTGAAGAAAAAAATGCTTACACTAAATTCCAAATTACGATTTCGGGCACTCCAGCCATGAGCGCAATCATGAGGATTCTTTTCTCAAACTCAAACCACATGATCTTGACAAGATCCTTGATTTCTTTCGGAGATTTGCTGCGACGAGAATCTTGGTGAACGATTGCTTCCCGAAGACCAACGATTGTCCAATTTGGCAGTTCATCTTCAAAGGTGTCTAACTCCAATGAAGGAAATCGGGATCGAAAGGGTCCTTTGACTTTCGGGTTTTTTTTATTGGCGCCAGCATCGTTGGTAGAGGGCTCTTTAGAAGACGGATCCGGCTGTGGTGACCTTTCTTGAGTTTCCGTTGGAGGTGGTGATTGGGACTGCTCTTCACCACGAGAGGTTCGAGATTTGGTAGAAGTTTTGGTCCGAGTGGCTTGCTTCTTCTTCTTAGGGGCTTTTGCAGCTTTCTTTGGCTGTGATGGGTTGTTTGGTTGCTTGGAGCGCGTTGTGTATGGCATGTTGGTGGATTTGGTGATTTGTTTTTAATGGACCAAGAGGCTACAAAAAGATGGCAATAGTTTGTCAGTACGATAGTATTTTTGCCCGTTGAGAATAGATCAAAAAACATATCGGAAGATATTGGAAGGTTAGTGAAACGCGCTACAGGTGATTGTTAAATCAAAGATACGAGAGAGAAGAGATTATGAAAGGAGGAAAACGAAATGACAATATGAGGCTGGGAAGAGCTTGAGACCTGTCAATGCTTATCATCAGACCTCCAAAAGGCAACAATGGTGCAACCTGAAGCCTGTCAGTGCTGCCCAAGGATCCATGGCGAAAGGACAAGAAAAGGTAAAGGAAAAGAAGGACGTCAAGGGAAAGGAGGGAAAGGGGGAAGATAACAGGAAATGGGATATTTGAAATTTTACAGACCAGCGATCTAGATTCTCTTTGTGAGTTCGATTAGGTGAAGTTGTTCAAAGGTGTAACAATCGAAGTGTTCTATGCGCTGGGAAGGGGTTCTTGTGATTAGGGGTAGGGATGATGTGGCAGTGTCTCAAACTGAATCGTACATACATACACATGTGTATACTTGACACACCATCTGCGTCTGTGAAAGGTAGGCAAAAATTGGGTCCATGGGTAAGCCAAAAAATCAATTTCTTGTTTTAGTGATCATGGTTTGGTACATTGATGATGATGAATGGATACAAGAGTTCTTTACAATATTATTCAGAGCAAAAGCAAGAAAACAAACAAGAGGAACCGCTGATTCTCAACTTACAGTGATTGAACAATCATGAATAAAAGGTTTTAGGCCTCAAATTGAACATAACTTACTCAATTGTGGACCAAACTTGATCATCCAATGATGAAAGTTGTTTGATATAATATTCAAAGTGGAGTTTAATAATACCATCTTGTAAAAAACCTGTCTCTAGATGGTCACGTAGAGGATTTTGTGAAGTTGGTGGGAGTAAAAAGGCCCACAATTAAGCATAAATTGCTCAATTGTGGCCCAAAATTGATGGTACAAAGATGAAAGTTGTTTGGAAAGTTGTTTCAAGTAGATCTCAATAGGACAATCTTTGATACTTTTCATGTCTTGATGGTCACAAGTACATTTTTTTGTATATTTTTGGGGTATGTAAATCCACAAACTGACCATATCTCTTTCAGTTGTGGTTCAAAACTGAAACTTCAATGATAAAAGTTGTCTGAAATCCAATTTCACTTTCCATTTAATATAAACTTTCTCCAAAAAAAAACCTTCTTGACACACCTTTGGGCAATTTGATTTTTGACACATATTTTCTGATCTCTATATCTCAGCCAATTTTTGTCTTTTGTTTTCTGGGATTGTTCCAGTGATTTCTTAGAGGTTTTTTAGGGTGGGTTTATTGACGAAGTCTTCCCCCAAAGTCACTTTGAAATTCCTTCAAAATTTTAGCTCAAGTATGCACATATTTGTGCTTTTAAAGTCAAGTATGACAACATAACACCCCTCAACCAAATGAGAGTTGGTACAGGCATGGTATTTGCTTTTGGCTGAGATATTTGTAGTACTTTTATAACAACTCCAAATAACAAAAGACCCTCCATAATCATGGTTTAATGACTTATGAAGAATTTGCTTGTTTTAATCTTGATTGTGTCTAATGGTTTGCATCAAACTCAAACCATTAAACACAATCAAGATGGAAGGTTTTGTCACAACCATTATAATTGACTCATAGCAAAATCCCCTTCTGGACATTTCTCATTAATGATTAATCAGTGTTGGATCAATACTGAACTGAGTGAGAAATGTACGCTTTGTGCAACTTGTGGATTTTCAACTTTTCACAAAATTTGTTATATGTCCATCAAGAGTGTCTAATTTGAGCATGTACTCATATTAGACTCCCCGTGTAATTATTTTCTGAATAATTCAGACTATTGGTTTATCCACTTTGGATGACTGTTGAGTGACCTGTGTACAATTTGTGTCAGTTAAATCACGACGTGTGGTCAGGACATTTCCTCAATGTCCACAGAGGAAGATGATCACCTTTTAGATCATCGATACAAAATAAGATGCTCATTGGTATCAAATGAATGCCATAATGTTGGACTTGAAAAGGCCTTCATCTTGTTTTCAATCGTATGACACAACTAGATGTGTATCAGATGCACAAGATATAACAAGGGATGCGAGGATGCGCTGATAGTCCTGAATTCCACGGAATGTTAGTCCTGAATTCCGCGGAGGTCATCATCTTCATAACCGATACAATCTTCCATTATGCAATAAATGAAAACTAGAGAGAAGAAAGTATTAACCCTCTCAATCCTCTTACGATTAAATCATTTTATTTTATCATTTGCAACCCAAACTCAAGCCCTCTTTCTACGTCACATATAATACTACTGTTAAACTCAAAGTCCACATTTATGGTCTTACCAGGCGAGGAGGTTGGTCCTGAACCAAAGCGGACAAGGCGAGAAATTCTCACTTCAAAATCGTCAATCGGAGACAGGTTTGCCAATATGGAAGCTCTTGAGGAAGTTGATGCTGAAAGAATCGAGGCTCGCAGGGCTCGTCAGCATGCACCGGTTCCAGTGTTGCCGCCGATGAATCAAGCCGAATCGGATGAAGAGGCTGGACAACTGTATGACGGGTTCATACCAGCTGAAGGACTACGAGATCTTGCTCAAGAAGTGAACGAAGACCGTCAAGTTATCAACCGAGCCGATTACCTTCGCAGTGTTACATACCAAGAACGTGCGCTTACCGAGGAAGCAAACTGGAAAAAAGTCATACCGGCGATTTTTACTGCTTTCATGCCGTGTAGCAGAACAACCTTCCAATGGGCAGACCCGGTTCTGTGGAACCTTGACATGAATCAACGATGCAATTGTGCACGTTGGCAAAGGACGACAGTCAGTGTGGATACAATTGATTGGTCTGGTGCGTTCTCTTGAGCATGAGGATTGTGATTTAATCATGTTTCACATTCACATGATCATCTCAAGGTTTCTTTTTGGATTCCCGTGTGTATATCTGCCACAATAGGTCGTGCTAAGACTCCTCTCGAAACTTGCCGGTGCACTCCAGATGTGGTTCGGCTGCTCCGTAAAGGTTACATAGGGGGTACTCCGGTTAATCCTAGAATAGCATTCTCAATTCGAATGCTGCGAATCCATCACATATTGTGGAAGTACTGCAGCATACGTGTTGCACCTTTTGTCGAGGCGATTGACGAGTACTTGGATCCTCGGAGTCCACTGCTCTTGGTGGCAGGTAGCGATCAGGTAAGCTGATTGTTTCTATCCCAGATGGAATATACAAACACCAACTAGGATGCTGACTATGATGTGACCACAGACTCGTGACTGGCGAAAAAGGTTTTCTGCCGCCATCGATGTTTTCAGGGAAATGCTGCGACTAGAAGATGAATTGACAAATCAAGCATTGAAATTATCACCTGAAGATATATTAGCATCGACCTGTCCTGCCTGTTTTGGGCCAGAAGTAACAGGAAAGAGAGCTGCTGAGCCAGATGTTGTCATCTGCCTCGATGCAAATTTCCAGCAGCGCCGTCATTACTCGGCAAGTGCGGAATGGAGGGGTGATTCAGGCCTGGTTCCTTCTTTGTTCCTTTCGCCTTCTCAAGTTAAGACCTGGGAGACTACAATGAGCGTCAATGTACCACGCGGCAGAGGTGCGGAAGTGATTGTCAGTTGAGATTTGAGAGTCTTACATACAAACATAGTTTCTTTGAATTACGTACATTTCGAAGGCTGATTTAATTTACATTAATAGCATCCCTGTAGCGAACAGCACACTGCTGCTGATGATGTCCGAGGACGAAACACGTGGAAAAGCTATTATGAGACGGGTTTGATGGGTATGGGCTGTCGAGCCTGGCGTTATATCCCCAGAACTTTCCAGTATGGGGCTCGGGAATGCGACGCCTGATTTCTGTGCGAGAAGTGAATTGCGAATTTGGGCCGTGAGGATACTGCAATTGAAATTTGAAGTCCGACGGGTTTGACACGAATCCGTCGTCAACAATTTCCTTTGATGTCTCAAAGCGGAGCTGATTACTCCGTGGTGACTCGACGCAAATCGGTCAACGTAGCGTCGCGGGTTTAGCAATGGTTCCTGAAGGCTGAGCGCAATTGACAAGTTCGTCGAAAGCATGGACGTCGCGAATGGCGCTGTGAGGCGAGAAGAATTGGGGTGGTGGATTCAAATCGGGACGATACCGCAATGACGCCAGGATCTGATCTCGAAAAAGCAGGGGCGACAAGGAGGGATGCTGAGCCGCGGAATCCATCCCAATGCAGAGGAGGGAAGGGTGACCGATTGCGCTCAATCAGTGTAAGTTCCAGAAAAGCTAGGGGGGGTTTGTCATTTCGAGAGAAACACTGCCGTGATTGTGGATTGTTGCTAAGATAATTCATCTTTTCCTTTCACTGCACGATGACCTTTGTTGTATTTCTGAACTTTTGCTCTGCTTGGTCAGCGCTCTACTCACTGGACGACGACCTTTGCCGTATTTCGTAAATTCATCGCTCTGCTTGGTGTCCTAATCTGCAATAGAGACATTGGCACCGACGAAAAATGGGAAGATGTCAGCGTCGAGGGCAGGTCCGTACGAAGCCATCCAGGCGAAGGGCTCTTCATCATCAACAGTAATCAAGACCGGAATCCACAACTTCCTTTTTGCAGCCAATATTCACGATTGGCTGCCATTTCCTTGGGTCCGATGACTCCCAGTAAGTCTACTCGAACTCCTGAAAGAATTCCTACCAAGGTGCTTGAAAGTGTAATTCAAACTGACTCAGACTTTTTACCCATAGTTTGACTCGCCGAGCTCCTCAGTCAGGCAACAGAAAGGCTGGAGCAGGAGCTGCTGCCTCGAATCCATGTTCAAAGTTGGCTGAAATGGTTACTAAAAAGCGGCAAGGATCAGGTTCGCCGCCTAAAACTAAAGATGTATCGTTAAATCTTTTCTCTTGATTTTTCTAA